CCCCAAAACCCCAAAACCCCAAAACCCCAAGTGCTAAAATCGATTTGGTTTTAAAGAAATCAGAAATATAAATAAAACTGTTTGTGGTAGATTGTCAATTTTAATCAATTAATTTTCATTGCTTTAAATTATATCATCCATCAACAGCATTGCTAATCACTAATTTATAGCCAAAAGCTTATCATAATTATTTAATTGTGAGCTACTTCAAATCTTAATTGTTGAGTTCTGTTGTTCCATGACTAGCATCTCAAAGTTCTAGATGTCACTCGATACCTCATCCAACTTCTAAACTGCATGGCCTTCTATTTCTCTGGCAAGCTAGGCAATTTAACTGACTGAGCCATTGTATATCTCAGCATTGCCTCTGAGCAAAGCCATGTCCTCCATGAATTGCTCTCTAGTATGATAGTCCTGACGCTTAGCTTTGTTCTTCAAATCCATTAGAGCAATAGGAGTTTTAATAACATCATAGTAGTTAGGTGCGTCCTTCTTCTTGACTTGGTAGTGGAATAACTTGGTCTTGTCGTAGACTATGCAGTAGTCAATCACGTTACCAAACAGCTCATTTAGCAAGGCGAGACCTGATTGTTGTCTGCGGCGGGAAGTCTGAGTTTTGGGCTTGTAAGACTCAAAGTCTTCATCATTGTAAGTGGTGGTGGCAAACTTATTAGGCTGAGGAATTTTCTTCTGCTTAGACAACTTATTCTTCTTCTCATCTTTTGATTTAGACTTAATTTTCTCTGGAGCTTCAAATGGCTGGTCACTCAAATTTAGAGATATAGCTATCTTTGCTGGTTACTATGCATTGGTGATCTGCTTACTCTCTGAGCTTCCATAGTTAATTTTCTGAGAATCTTGCTGATATGGATCATACATTTAATCTGATAGCTTGATCTGCTGAGAGTATTTTAAAGTGTTCTTAGCTGGCTTGAATGTGCTTGTAGGTGCTGTAATTGATGGTGCTATTTGATTCAGATTCCCCAAACTTATTGATAGCTTTGAACTCTATTACTGCAATTAAATACTGCTTGAACTTTGACTGTATGAAGAGTGCTATTGCTGCTACTACTGAACATGCTAACTTTGTATTTGTATTTAAGAACTATGCGTCTGCTGAGCGGTCTGTCTCATATACACATCTGTTGACTATGATCTACTGCTTTCCTAAAGTATTCCGCCTTGCGAGGCAGCTGCACCAAGACTGATCTTAATAGGCTCTCCGATTTGAATGGTTGTCTTTGGGGCTCCACCCATTCCACCCTGAGAATGTGTACTTGCTGCTCCTATTGTAGAAGCAGGTCCAGTATGACCTCCAACGCTAATGGGCTGATCTCTGGTGTTCATAGGGTTCTATCTCATCACACTAGATGTCTCAGACCTCGCAAGTCTATCATCAAGGATAGGTTTGGTTATTTGCTTCTTCTCCTTTAGACTTTGCTTCTTAGTTCTTTGAGACTTGATTTTATGCTTGTTGATTCTCTTGTTGAAACCTTTGATTTGTCTCTGATCAGAGCAGAATATGACTCTCTCTATTTGCTGCTCTAAGGTTGTACCATAGCCTTATGATCCTACTGGCTTTATTTTCTTTCTAAGAATAGTGCAAGCCAAAGTAGTAGTGCCCTCACTTAGCTTTTACTTTAGGGCTTATGCCGCTGCTTCCTTGTCAAATATACCTGTGCTTGGGTCATAGCCGAATTGTATCTACCCTACTCCTCCTGAGTTTGAACCAATGTTTAGACTTCCAGCTGGATTTGAGGAAGCAGGACCTATAGCTTGATTAGCCATTAGAAGTATTTCGAAGTTAGGTATGTCTCTTATGTTTTCTACTTTTATATCCTCCTTCAACTCTACTATATTTCTGCTGTTGTTATTAGTTTACTAGATATCATTGATCTTCTTTTGCCTTTAGTCACGAGTTTCAGAGTCACTGTAGTCTTGAATAAAGTCTCCGCTTTCCTTGCTAAGGTAGCCAATTTGCTTCTTGAAAATATCGTTGACCTGCTTTTAATACATTTCTCTCTGCTTTTTGCTGGTGAATCTGACTCCTCTTGCAAATTTCTTCATCTCGCCCTCCATTCCTTGAGACACTGCTTGGCTACTTTTGTCTCTAAGCACTGCAACCATTTGCCATCTTGTGAACTCGGCGATTGATTCCTCTTTGAAGCCAAGGTCTATCAACTTGTTCTTGATTTCCTTCTTGCTAAGCTTTCTCAAGTCTGCATCAGTGCCTGTCACTGCTTTGGGATTTTGGATGGCAGGGTTCAGATACATACGGTTGATTTTGGCTTTGTTAAGTGAGTCCTAAGAGATTTTAAGAGGCAGTTTGAGATAGGAGTAGCCGCCACAGCCATGAGATGGATCACCAATTCCCTCAAGCATCATCATACCTCTAGTTTGCTTGTTGTGAATGAAATTTTGAGAAAGATTCCAGGGAGTAGAAAGCACCTCTTCCTCTATGATTCTAGCAATCAACTGCTTCTTCTGATTGGGCTCCTCAGAGCAGAACTTATTTGTAGCATAGGATATCTTATCAGCATTGGTGATGTCTCTAATACCTACCTTTTTCAGCATCTGCTCGCCATACTCTGCGCTCTCATACTGGCATATCTATAAGACAACATAAAAATATAGGAGTATATTACATTTTCAGGGGTGATGAGTTATCTGAATTGCTCGTCACTGTACTCCTGGCCAAGGGAACAGTACTGATTGCGGTCTACTTCAACATTTATTTCTTTGATGATCTTTTTGAGGATCTAGTCGTTTATGTAAGGAAAGTACTTGTTCAACTCTTAGAAACTTATGTAGTCGTTATTCTCTTGCAAGAATCTAATAACATATGCTTGAGTTCTCCTCTTGATAAAATGCTAATACTGTCTGCTTTGTGGATTATACACTTCAAGTTTGGGTTCTTCTTGTCCCATTACGTATAGCTCACTTAACTCTCTGACTACTATAGTGTTTTACTGATTCTTGTCCATATGCAGCACGCATAGGAAGTCATTTCTCTGTGGCTTATGATAGAACACTGGACAGTAGTACATATTGTTCTCCATTACTGTGATACCCTTTTAGAACTTGGTATCTATCTAGCCCAGCAGTGGGATCTTCTCTCCCTTCTTCTTGAGGATCTGCACTCCATGTGGACCCATGTGGCGGGTTGTCTGGTTTTCTCTACGCTTGAGAAAAGCTGAGTCTGGCAGGAACTTGTCTGAGTAGAGATATCTCTTGAGCTTGCTAGCCATTCCAAAGTCATTCACAAACAGAGGCTGCTAATCGATATGTTCGAACACGCAGAACTTGCCGTCCTTGAGTGAAAGTTTGAATCTGTCTCTAAAGAAGTCATGGGCAGTGATGATTCCTGCTTTCTTAGGTCTCTTGTCAACTGCATCGTTGGATATGACCTTGACCTTCATTTGCAAGAACTGATTCAATCCGAGTTGCTAGTCAATGTTAAGCTACTGCAAAGTGCTGCTGCTCATTGGATCTTATCTTTCCTGGAGCTTCAACTAGCCTTGAGAGAACACAAAGGTGCTGGTAGATTTCTAGCCAGCTGCTGCATTCATTTACTAGATTAGCATGTCTCTCTCTTGCTTCAGATAGGCAAACACATCATTGATGTTTGGCCTGTGGAAGTTGAGGAGGGCTTTTTCTGACCAATCAAATCTGGTATAGGATAGTTTAAGAATGCATTTAGCGTGATTGAGCTCATTGGCTCTTGACTTGGTGACTCTCAGTCTCATGTTGTCATCTCCAATCATGCCTTCATGATTCATTTTGTTCGGTTGCTAAGGTTCGTCACCTAGCATCTCCTCGTCTTAGTTGTGGTTGTGATCATGCATGCCGAGTCCTCCGAAGTCTTGATCATCTCTTAGTTTGTTCATGCTCACCATGTACTTATTCTTTTCTCTGTTAGCTCCATCCCCACTTTTGCCGTTACCATCCATTCCACTTACTTGCAATAGGGCATGACCTCCACTTGCATATGCCACTGTCTACTGCTGTCCCGTACTGGTGTTCTGCTGATTGGCCTTCTCATGCAACTGGATCTTTCTAAGCATCACATCATGGAGTTCTTTCTTGCGTCTCTCGAAGTGCATGTCGAAATTGTCCACGAAGTCATTCAGTATCTACTCCTTCCTCTACTGAGTCTGTACAGAGGTCAGCACACTGTTAGATTTTTAAGACTGCAGCAGTTGCAGCTGCTATTACTGTTGAATAAGAGAAAGCTTTGCTGAGTCTTTGGAAAGTTAGTTGTGGGACTTGCTGGTTAACTGGGACACTGAGGCATGAGTAGACATCTCCATCTAGTCATCTAGATCTTCTTAGTTGTAAAAGTCTGTCTCAGTTATCATTCCCAGTTCTAGTTGGATTCCTCTAATGACAGAATTGATGTTGAATTTCTTCTCATTATCATTGTAGAAATATGACTCTTGTTTCTTCATGTACTCATATTCTTTAATATTCTTGATCTGATTGCATTCAACTTGCTGATTCTGGTCTTGCGCATTTTACTCTGCAGCCCCTTTCTTTCCCTTGGCATTAGTTTGAGCTGGCACGACTTTCTCAATTTTGAATATCTTCTCGTCTTTCCTGTATCTCAAGTTGTACTACTTATTCTGGAACATTTTATAGGCGAAGTTGTCCTTATTCACCTGCTGAATCGAAGTAGAGTCGACTGGCTCACCCCAGTACTTCTTGCGTTTAGCCAGACCCCCGCGCATTATATTTGCTTACTCTATCTGCTTGAACTTCTACTCAATAATCCACTCTTAAATCTAGAAATCAGAGGCTTCAAAGGGATCTACATTCGCATGCTAATTATTCTTGTCTGCAAGCCCACCTCTGCCAACTCCAAAGAAAGCATTGTTGTCTGAATGTACAGAAAGTTTGTCCTCAGCTGTGTTATTGTTAGTGATACCGAAGATAGGATGGGTATGGTTGTTATTTGAACCCCCAATCAGATCGTCTATGAACATACCAGTATCATCACTCTAGATAGCTGACTTCTAACCATTCCAGCTGAAATCGTCTTGATTTAAGTATTTCATGAAAATGTAGCACTACTTTTCAAGTTTCGATAGATGCATCACTGGGTATTTGGACTCAACTACGATGCTTGATTGATGCTTAAGATATTTCTTGATAACTTCTTTTTCCTCAGAATTCAAGTCGGCCATGCTTAGCTCTTGTTCAACAACCTTTTGACTGACTTAAAAGTACCTATTCTCCAGCTTCTTATACTCCACATCAACAGTCAGCTATTGCTTGGTGATCTCCTATTCCAAATCTTGGATCATAATCACTTCAGTAAGACCGAGGTTATCTTCAATCTCTGACATTTGCTTCATTTAGTGCTAATGCTCTTCTTAGTTTTTCTGTTGCTTTGCTTCCAATGATTATTACTACAACAATTTTTGAGATTCAGCTATCTACTGCTAAGTCATATGTCTTTTTTGCGGGAGAATTCTAGCAATGTGTGGAGTATGGCTGTACTTATTTCTGTCTCTAATCATGTCGATTTGCCTTGTGTTCATACCTGGCGTATACATATAGTTCACATCCTCTAATAATGGAGCTGGATTAGAATACTTGATCTGATGTTTGAGTTTAGCTTTGATGTTTTTGATTTCCTCTTTAATCTTGCGCTTTTGAGATCGAAGTGCTTCAGTCTCCATGTCATTCTATGTCATCATCTTTTCCTTGTTGTACTCAATCATCTTCTCCTTCTTAATCTTGGTGGTAGGTAAGTATAGTTCTGTCAGCTTGTAAACCAGTTCATTTTTAGTCTAGTAAAGGACTGAAAGGTCCACCGACTTATATTGTCTGTTCTGATCACCTCCTAATTCTTCTTAGATGCTATCAGTAAACTAGACTCTCGGCCTATGCTTTTGACGGTTGGTATTGGGTGTCCTGGAGAATCTACTTTGACTATCTGATTAGGAGTCTATTTACTAGGAATTAAGATTTTTTTTGTCGTCCTCATCAATGTCTGATACTTCAAAGTCATCATTGTATCGATCTTAATCCTCATCCAAGCCACCACTTCTAGAGGTTGGTGTTTTTATATTATCTAAATCATCTACAGATCCTCTTGATTCACTCTGGTCTTAATTTTTCCGATTTTTAGGATGAGAGCTGAATCTATTTCTATTGCGATTATTAGTATGACTCCTTGACCTTGAGTTCTCATTGTTATTTTCGCTATCTTCACCCACACCATACTCATCTATATTTAAGTGATTAGTTTAATGTGTATATATTTTAGATTATTAACTTACCTATATCCTAGATGTTGCATAATTTGTCTAGAATCTCTGGTTCTAGTATATCTCCAAAGATAAGTCGCTAAAGTTCACTCATCTTTAAGTCCTTATAAATTTGTAATTATTATAAAATTTAGTTCTTTATATAATCCTAGCAATTCTAATAGCCAATCAAATCATGGGGTTTTGGGGTTTTGGGG